TGGGAGTCAGTGTGGTATTTTCAGCTTCAGTACTTTTAATGTGGCCAGAACTGGATTGAAGATTTTTAGGATTTCCCATCTCTTAAACACCAGTTCAATGGAGATATTCACACAAGAAGTTCCGCTGGTGTTCTGTGTGTGCACATCTTTGGAGGATCACTTGGAGGTTGGGTATTGAGGTGCTGAAGCATCCTTTTTTCTCAAAAAAAAAAAAAAAAAACAAACAAAAAACAAAAAAAAACCCCAACTTTCATTATCACTTGGCAATAAATAACTTTTAATATCACTTCTTTAAAAAATCCTTTTTTCCTCCTGTTTGATTTTGTCATTTTTTCCTCCTGTTTGATTTTGTCAAAGGCCCAGTTAAAAGTGGTATTCAGTGTCACATTTTGAGATCTATTTAGGCACAGAAAGACACCTTGGAGAGTTTTCAGAAGTGTTTAATATTTGGAATGTTTTCCCACGTCCAAGTCTCTTCTCTGCTGCACAGAAAACAACCCCTGTTGAGAGAAAAGAGCAGCTGAATTCCAGTGACTTTCTCCCTGTTTAGCTGGAGAGTGTGAGGCTGTTAGAACTTGTTCTCAGTTTCAGCTCAGTACTTCAGATCCCTGCTCTCTGGGATCCTGAGGAGGAAGTACATAATATGGGTGTAATTGGAGTACCACTCTCTCGTCCTACTCTTTCTGACAAGAAAACTGCTTTAGCTCACAGAGGAACTCTCAATTCATTTAGGCTCCTGTGCAGGGACACTCCCTGTGTTTATTTAACAGCACTTCGTGTTTCTGAGCACCAAAATAAATTATTTGCAGAAAATCCCTGAAATTTGTCTGTGATAAATGTGAACCTGAAGATTTCCCCTGAGCTATGTCTAGCATGAACTTTATTCACTGTAGGGATCATGTTTATGTAATTGAAATTTTGGACAGATTTTTGACAGATCTTTTAGGATGTAACATTTTGTTTCCCATTACATGAGCAAAACTGTTTATTGATGATGAGAAAAACTGAAAGTTTTGATTTACAGTTTGTTTGCTGCTTCATTATTTCAGTATCCTACATTTACAAGGGTTTGGCAAGAAATTAAGCACTTTAAATGAAAGATTGTTCATAGAAGTAAACAAAACACTGGCAGAACCTTCCTCTCACCTTGTCCATGGGTGTGTCTGACAATTTGCACATTTACCAGATTCATTTCTGTCAAGATAATTAATTGCAGAGGTTTGATGAATTGTAGCGTGACCAGAGATGGTAAGTGTTGGTAAATATTACCAAATTTGTGAGGGTTTTAATTATCATTAGGCTAAAAGCACTGAGTTCATATGAAAACTGAGAGTTCATATGAAAGTTCCATAAATCTGGTGATTTGATTTTTTTTCCCCAAACCACGTATCTGGCATTTATTTGTTCTTTCATACTGACATTCTTTATAAAGAATAATGCATTGTACAAAAATGTGCACTAAGAACAAGTCTTTAAGGGTTTTCATCCTCCAACTCTTTTAAATCAACGCTAGAATAAATTTGGCAGTAGATCACAAGTTTTTTTAGAAGATGAGGCTGAGAATTACCTACAAAATGGTCTGGTTAGCAGCATCCTTAATTTTGGGGTGTGATTTCTATGGTCAATAGACACCAATTCTCTTCTCTGATTATGTCAGCACAGCTGAAAGGTGCATGCAGGAATGGTGGTTAAAGGTAATGAAGGCTTCATGGCATTTTGTTGGGGGGGCTTTTGGATAATTGCTCTGCTTCTACCTGAGTAGCCACAGGAAAACATCAGAAGTTTTGAGAAATTCCAGATTTCGGGTTTGAATAAATAATTGCTCAACAATTAGCGCACAAATATTTTGGTATATGCCAAACTAATGAGCAGTTTGCCACACTACAAAGCAGACTGGCAGCCTGTCTCTCTGAAATACTGGGAAGAGTCTGAGCTCTAAGGCTTCACTGTGTTAGGATGGGGGAGCCAAGCCTTTGTGCAGAGCTGTCACCTTCAGTGGCTTTAGGAGTTCACAGAGGTTTGAAACTTTAAGGTTGGAACAGCTGCTGTAAGGTTGAGTGATGTCACACTGAGTGTTTTGGGTGTGAAAGCCGACTCTGAGCTTTCAGAAGCCTCTTAAATGTTTTTGTGTTCAAGCTTTTCAGAAAAAGACCTCATTGAGGAGCTGCTACTCTGTGTTAGAGATGAAGTTTTGCATCAGGAGTGGTGATCAGGACAAAGAGCAGCAGCTCTGAGGCAGCTGTGAACAGTCCATTTTAACCTCATTGCAATGTCACTTCTCAATGGGCATTAATAAAGGTAAGCTTCGACAATTGGAATACCACTTGTTTCTAAAACTGAAGAATTAAAACTAACCCTAATCTGATCTCTCTGCCTTTTTTATGCCATTCTGATAGTAAAAGGGTTTTAAAATCATGGGGATTAAGGGTTAAAAGGAAAAATGAGCTTAGTAGGCCCTAGAAAAATAAACACCCTAAGCACATGGAGAACTTGTACTTGCTAGAACTGCACCTGTACATGATAAATGATATAATTGTTAGATGTGATGATTGTTTAGTAATTAAATATAATTACTGTTTAATCATAAGAATAATCATGAGAAACTGTGGTCACGGACCTAAGAAAGATCACGAGAAACTCATGTCAATGTATACAATAGAAGAATATAAGTTTAATAATTAATATGTAAGTTATATAACTATAGAATAAAATACATTCAGCTCGAAAGCCGTGTTGGAGTCAGATTTGGGTCTGGACCCCTGATTCCCAGAGCTCTTAATAAAAGCACCTGCATATAATCATATCCCCTGATTATGTGTGTTCCAGAACGCTAACACCACCCTCTGGCCCTTGCTGGGGAAGACTCCTTCTGGAAGAGTAGGCATCTATTTAACTTACAGAACATTGATATAAGAAGAAAATACATCAAATATATTCTTCTTGGTATTTTGGTCATTAAATAGAGAAATCTACCAAAGTGTTGTAACTGTAGTCGGTCAGCAAAATAAATTATTTTGCTGTTGGCTGAAGTTCTGTGCCTTTGCAGGGTTGCCTCAGTGGCTAAACACATCTTGCAAACGCTTCACTTTCACCTTTGCTTGCAGCAGCAGTGTTAGTCACTGCAGCCTGTGAAAACTGCATGGAAAATTCCCTGCAGTGCAGCCATTTGGAGAAGATCCCTTTCCCCCTGCAAGCAGAACAGATCCCATTGGTATCCTGGAAGGAAGGACTGCTTGTCCAGAACAACTTGTCTCTGTTTCAGTGACAGCTTTGTGTTTAGTCAGGGACAGGCAGAGATTCAGCTCTTGTCTAACATATAATTTACACGGATTTTTCCCACAGGAATGATTTTCAGTGGTAGCACTTTGTTGGGTTGGGACTCCTCTGAGTTCTTTAGGGAGATTTATCAGTGATGTACAAGCCCATCAGCTGTTTTGCTGTGACATTACTTGTATCTACAGACCCATGGAATCAAAGGGTTTTGTTTGCAGCCTTGGATTGCAAATAATTCTGCAGTTTCCAGCATCTTCAGAAGCCAAGGATTTCTAGGATTATTTGGATAAGAGATAAAAAAAACCCGAAATAACAAAACCCAAAAACCAACTCGCAAATCAGCCATAAATTGAAAGTGGGACCTAGTGGTCATTTAGAAGTGATTCTTGAATATTTGTGGTAACGAGCACTGAATTGTCTCAGGAAAAGATTTTTTCCTCTTATGCTAATTTACTTACTCAGTTTTAAAGCAGTAAGAATATAAACCTATGAGAATTTACTATAACAACACAATAACTGCAGTGGCATCTTGTTAAAATAGTAATTTTAGCAGTGGGCCTAGTGGTGAACACAAACACAAGGACTCCTTATTTTATTGGAAGAATATTTTTGCAAAGAACCCTGCATTATTTGGAGTGTGTTAACTCTGTCCCAGATGTTTTACATCCCATCTGATAATCATAAATTGTGACATGAAAGAAGTCTAGAAATAACTGCAACTCTGACTCGTTTTTGTTGATCTCATGAAGGTGTGTGCTCAAGTCAGCCACACGTGATCATATTGCCTGTGAGAGCAAGGGAGCAGAAGTAAATGCCTCAATTAATCATTGCGGAAAGAATTCCAGATCTGTAAGCATTCTGCCTGAGTGAGGAACTGAGGATTAAACCTCAGGAGCAGCCAATGCTTTAAACATTTCCATGAAAAGGTCATCTCCAAGCCAGTATCGCTTATCCTGGCTTTTGTATTCCCTGTCAGTCACAAAGGGGGAACACACACATGCTGGAAGAAGGTAATTGTTGCAGATTAAAGCCTCATGTGAAATGAAAGGGCCATCAAAATTCTTTATAGTTGCTTGGCATGAGTTCTGATAATGCAGAGTTCTCTTTTATTATTATTTTAAAATGCAGCCTTCTAGCACAGACTAAACAAAAGTCCCCCAAGACAATAGGAGTAGCCTGTAAGCAGAGTGTGGAGCTGCTGTGCACAGCTGGAGCTGGCAGGTGAAACACAGGCACACAAGTGCTTCTTCAAATAGGAAGATTTCAATTTCTTTTACTTTCCCCCGGCCCCCATGTAGCTCCATCTTGTATTTTAGTTGCAGATAAGATTTTTTTGTTCTGCCGTATTTTAGATCTATCTACCAGCCTTTCTTTTACAGAGAAATATCTTTTTCTCTTGTTGGGAGAACAAAAAAACATCAAATTCCCTGGTGCAGCATGGCTGCTCATCATGGAAACTTAAAAAATAATAGTAATTAAATTTATTTCTTATGAAACTCAAATGCAACGACTACTTTTGACACATTATATGTGATAACAGTTTCAAGATATTTATAAAGGACACTTGGGTAATTTTCTTCAGGGTTGTGCTTGAATAAGTTACACACCAAGGAAGAATACAGGACATTTTTTTGCAGTCATTAGACGTTGTGCAGCTTTTTTTCTTGTTCTGTTTGTGTTTTGCACAGGTTGACCCCTGTGTGCTCCCTCTTTCAGGTTCTGTTGTTCCTGGTTGAAGTCAATGAGTGCTCTTAGTGCACACAAGAAAATGTAACCCAGTGAGGCTTCCACCTGCCCAGCCCTCAAGGAAATGTCAGCAGCCACTGATGGGAAGAGGCCTCCTAACTCAGAGGTGATTATTTTTGCTTTGATGCTTCTTAGTGCCTTTGTTGGTATATTCTGAGCAGCATGATCCCAAAATAAAACTAATTCAGGCTGACAGATGCTATCACACATTCAGTGTGAATGGAGTTCACTGAGATTTTGCAGTTTTAAATTACCTAATACTGAAAAGCAACTGCTAAAACATTATCAGCAACTGCTTTAAGTGATTAAAAGCCAAAATATTATGCTTAAGTATGTAAATGCAAGATTAAAAAGCTCAACAAAACTTTGAAATAAAATATCAATAATAAAAATATATTTAAAAGGATTTTTAAAGAAATCACAAAAATGTCAACTGGACTCAATTTTTCTGCTTTAATTTATGCCAAAATCATCCAAATTTTTGTGATTTCCCTTTTTTTCTGATCAAACTGTGGAACTTTCTACTTTGTTTCTGTTTTGCTACTGCAACTAAAGCAGCCAACAGCCGAAGTCATTGTAGAAAACCAAACTTTCAGTAAAATTTGAACAAATGCATGCCCTCCCCATGTTTGCAGCTTCTGTTCTCTGACCAATTTCTTTTTGTGGTGATTTAGACTGTCCAGAGCCTGCATGTTCAATCATCTTCATGTTTCTTCTTGTCCACAGTGAGCCCTGTTTCCCTTTGCAGTGCCTGTTCCAGTGGAAAATGTGTATTTTTAATTATCTGCTGTCCTTAATTGAAGAGATGTGTCCCTGCACTGTATCAATGTACTCCTGCTTGTTCCTTGGTGAGTACCCATGCACAGCAATTTATTAAAGTTGTAATTCGCTTTCTCCAAACATTTGCAGCTATGAGTGCTACATCTGTAACAGAAATTCCTTGGTAGGAACACTTGAAACTAGTCCAGAGTTGCTTTAATTTTTGAATTGTGCCTGTGCACAGATTAGTTTCAGATTTTAAAGAAGAACTTTTTCTGTAGATATTGAGATTCACTTTTCCTGACACTTTTCCATAGCTATTGCCCTCATCAATAGGGATGTAAGAACACAGTATGATGATGATAACAATAATAATAACAACAATATCTTATTTATTCATCCTTAAAATATAGGGTTTTTTTCTGTTTGTTTTCAAGAGGTTATCCAAAAGATAAGAAGAACATCCAGAGAAAATATGTTTGTTAGTAATATTGTTTAAATATGGGTGTTTGCCTACTGGTCTGAAAACATCAACTGGGAGGAGGAAGCCTTGAAATGGTTTTGGTTCATTACTGACTTTAGGCCCCTCCATAATTCAGAGCCTCACAGAACTGATCCAAAGCACTCAAATCCTTGGGATCCCTTCCCAAGGCCTTGGTATATTTTGGAGAAGTTGCTACCCAGAGTGTTCTCCCTTCCTGAGCAAGGGCAGATCTGGCAACATGTTTGGGATCACTCTGGAAATACCCATTACACAAACTTCCTTTGTCTGGGGCTGCTTGGCAAGCAGGATCATTTGTGCCAGTTTTAGGGGAGCTATGAAGCTTTTTGTGGGAATCAGACCTCTTCTTCTTACATAACACAAGGTTTTGTAAGAAGAATTGTAAAAAGCTGGTTAAAAAACACACCAAAAAAGTCCTTCCCAAGTTCTGGTTGTAACTGCTTGGAAGGTGTTGCACTGGATTCTTGGGCCTTATCAATTCCTTGTGAACAGCCTTAAGCGCTTAGTGCTGAGGATTCCAAGTATTTTTCTTGTAGTGCTATTTTTAAATATAAAAAAGCCTCTCTGCTAGGTAGAAAAAGGAATTTAAGCTTCTACTGGATGTGTTAAAAGAAGAAAACATGCCTTAAGCCACTGGTTGCTGCCTGTATACTCATGCTTAGCAGGTTATTTCAATAGCATGCAAGTTAAATTCATATTCTATATTTGTTATTGATGAATTTGCAGTGATGATTGTGAGTTTTTGTGAAACTGGACTTGTAAGTTCTTGGGCTCATTTCTGTCCATAGCTGAGTAGAATTGCCGATTATGAGAGCTTTTCTAGTTGCCAACAAAATGATGACTCAAGTTCACAGCACAAGTATCCCATGAAGCAGAGCAGGATCTGCAGGAGAATAGGAGAATGGTCTTCACAGCTGCAGGTTGGACAGAATTTGTTTTTTTAAGAAGAAGGTGCAAAACCTCTTTGAACTCCTGTCCCTGTAAATAAACCCCCACACCTCAGCAGGGATGCCTGGGAGAGTGAGGGCTGGGCAGGACTGGCATGCCTGGGGACAAGATGTGATTCCTCATATCTCAGTTGGGGTCTGCAAAGTCAAATAAGGAAATGGGAGATGGGGAGAAATGTTTGATACTCCAGGCATGCTGCCTGCCAACATAAAGCAGAGCTGTCCTGAAAAAGGATTTAGTAATTTCCCCTGCTGGATTTGAGAATCCAGTGTTTTGCAGCACTGGAAACTGGAGGGGTTCATGCCTTAATCAGGATGTTTTGGGTGGAAAGTGTTCCCCGTGTACCCACTAAAGACATGCAATGGGAGTTTTGCTGTAATGACTCTAATGAGGCTAAGATTTGATTGCACATCTTCTAATCCCACATTTCTGGGTTGATTCATGCCTCCATTTATTCCTCTTTGACCTTCAGGAGCCTGGAGGAGGCAGATTTGGTTTTTTGCCATATTTGTCAGCATTAGTAAAAACAGCATCTCTAAAACTTCTTGAATTCTGGGTAGTTCAACAGAATATTTTAAGCACAAGGAATCTGAAAAACACTGATATGCCTAAATAATTGTGTCTTTAAAAAAAATGTGTTGTTTGAGAGCATTTTGGTGTAGTATTTAGCTTGAAAGATGCCACTAAACTTCTCAGTGCTTAGTACAGTTTGAGGGAAAAAGGCTGGGAGGACAGACTGCAATCCTGAAAATTATGGAAGCAATTGCATAATGAGGCTGTAGTTAATAATTAATTGTAAATAGGCATTGTCTTAATTCCAAAATCTGCCTTTAAATTTTTTGGCTTGCAGAATTATTGTACCTGACAGTAAAATAAAAGGAGTTGAGCTTGACTTGTGTTTGGTGCTTTATTGGGCTAGAATAGATGAGAGGCCTGTTCCTAAAATGTTGAAGCAAGAATGTGTCTGAGGTCTTTGAAAATAAAACTGTAGAGAGAGATGAGAAGCAAAAGATGTGTGAATGACTTGTAATCACTGTCAATGCTTGGGAAAATTAATTTTTTTCTTTCTAGTTGTCTTTAATAGCATTTATACTCCATTCCAAGGTACTACTTTGTAATTTGAAAATGCCAACTTTGTTGTTTTATGGTAAGATTCTTTCACTCTTCAGTGACAAATAATTTCCCCTTTCCCAGCTTTCTTTTTTCAACCAGGAACCTCGTTGCTGTCTGTGAGCCTTTTGTAACCAATTCCAAAGCACCTTCAAAGCACACTCAAATCTTGTCAGCACCTCAGCTCTTTGTAGGGCACCCCAGGACAGGACAAAAGATGCACATGCAGGACTGCATAAGGTAATTTAATCAGTGTGTTGCCTTCTGAAGGGGTGGGTGACCCTCAGAGAGGTTGCCTGAGGTGTGAGTGCTTCACAGTGAGATTAAATTTCACTTTATAACTCCTTATGGATAGTGGATCTTTAACTGCCCCTCCCCTGCCTTGTCCTCCTGTCCAAACCTCGTTCCCCACTGCTCCTGCCATTGAACAGAAAAAAACAAGGGATATGTGGAAGTCCTGCAAAGCAGGCAAATCTTTAGGCTGACCTAGGCTGGGTTTTAAAAAGGTTCAACAGAATCAACCAACTGCCACCTTAATATGTTGAATTCAATAACACAAAAAAATATGAGTGCCTAGAAAATTAAAAGCTGATCTCCACTTAGCTGCTATGTGTTCAGCATCAGGCAAGAGAGGAAAAAGAATCCAAATGAAACAGTAGCATGTTGCTCATCCAGAAAATTTTTGACTAGAAACGCCACAAGCTGACTTTTTGAGTCATCACACCAAATACAGGGCTATGTCTGCATATAAGGCTCTGTCTGGGCCAAACTCCAAATTTCAGTAAACTCCATGTTAAATTGAGTGGTGTTTGTTCTGAGTTTTCTTCCACATATTGATCTTGTGCTGCCTTTAAATTACAGAATTGTTACTATATCTTTATTTTTATAATATTTATAAATATTTTATTTAATATTATAAATACAAAATATAATATTATTTTATATAGTATTTCTAATATTTATTTATATTTATAATTATTACTGTATTTTTAACTGTATCTTTAACTGGGAATTCTGTGACAGTAATAAATGGGTGAAAGTGGGACATTTGAGGACAACCTGCAACTAAAGAGGCACAGACACCTTCTGGCCCTCTTCAGGAAGCTGTCTTGTTTGGAACAATTTGGCTTTTTGAAACATTTTTCTAGTACTTGTAGGCTAAAGGGATTTTAGTTGCCGTATCTGGAAAACACTGGGATGAAAATTACCCTGGAAAGTCCTTCTAAGACCTTTGCAAGTAAAGTTTTCCTTTGTTATATCATCAAAAAATGCTGTGTAAGAGAATGTTTGCACCTGCTGTGTCTTCCATAACTATCCTGAGCTCAGCACTGGATTTTGTGTTCCTATTTTTAAAAGCCATTTTGCTAAATAGGTGCAGAGAATGTTCCCTCTGGAAGGGGAGGAGAACAGCAGTGCAGCATTAGGGGAGCGCCCTGAACTTGGCATGCCTTGTATCAGCTGAGAGTGTGAAAGGAGGCAGATAAGAGAGCTGAATAAATTAGCATGGCTTTTGTGTGCACCATGCTGACTTGCAACTCCCAATGTCAGCGAAGAAAAACTCTTTTTAAGTCTTTCATGTAGCATAAATCACCTAAGGGAGGGCTGGAATCATCTCTGAAGGAATTTATCTTACCTGCTGCTTAAGATGGAACAGATAATCCTAAGGAAAACGTCTTGCTTGGCTTGCAAGCGTTGGAATAAGTGTCTGAAGAAAGAGATAGCAAAGTAGGGATATTGCAACCAGACTTGTGCCTGCTGCTTGCCAGCTCTGGAGTCCCTTTATAGAAGCCAGCAGCCTTGCCTGGAAAAAGAGCCAAGGAATTATTGCAGCTTTCAGGAAGGCAGGGAAAACAAAGAGAAGGGAAAGCCACACAGAGCTCTTGTTTGGATAAACTGTGTATGGTTAGGCTGAGTGTGTTTGGGGAAAGAAATGGAGAAAAGAAAAGTTACAGCTTAGTGATTCCTCCCCCCTCCCAGTCTTTTTAAAATACTTGTTCAGCATCAATTCACTGCAGGGCTTGTCTGTGCTTAAACTTGCCTGCTTTAATTAAACTGATCACTTAAATCGATGTTAATACCTGAATGTGTGCAAGGATTCAGTACTTTGTATGAGTTTTGTATGCCTCTGTAAACTACAGAGTGGATTTAACCAGTTTGATGAATATTCCCAAGTGTATTTGGAGAGTCTAAATTACCAGCAACCAGTTTCCCCATTCTTTCACTTTGTGTGTGTAAATGTTCTGTTTTGGGAAGTGTGTTGTGTTAACAGTTCATTTGGGATTATTCATGAGATTAATTTTGAAACTCTGTAAGTAATAGGAAGTCTTTCTGTGTCTTGATCTTTGAGTCTTGTCTTGATTAATGTTGATTTCTGGGAACTGGGCAAAGATACTGGGTTGGAATTCCAGGGAAAGGAATTGCTTGCTTACTTGGATCTGACATTTTGTAGTCAGTGTCCTTATGAAGGATCTAGAATTTGTCATTGATTTCTCCTCCAACATGAGACTGGCAAAACTGCATCTTGATGCTTGGCAAAATGCTGATCATGATGTCAGAGCATGCACCCACACCATTTATATATGTATTGAAAAATGGAAGTGGCAGCTACATTAAATGAAGTGGCTTTTAAGGGAGAAAAGCAATAATATAAATGATACAGAACTCCTCTAAAAGGATCATAAAAACATAAGAGGGTAGAAGTGTGAGCTGTTTCAGTGGTGTGATTTAAGAGTGAGAATCCATACAAGATGAAATATTTAGGGAAAGCAGGAAACTTGGAGTTGCAATGAATATTATCAGGTGAGAGAAAATGTGGAGAACGTGAAAAAGTTCTCACCACTTGTATTTATAATAACGTGGGGGAGTTTTATGCCTGTTTGTACTGACACACATTCACGTACCCAGTGTTAACTAACAGAAGTACATAAAAGTATAGTTCAGCTGCAGGGTGGCAGATGCACAGCAATAGATTAGGAAAAAAATGAGCAGTGGTAGGAAGTTCTGGGTGGTATGAGTGGAATAATTCCAATGTGCAGGTGAGAAACATCATCTCCTCTATTAATTTGACTGGAGGCTGTTACTTGCTTTTGTTTGTTGTACATTTAATCAGAATTTCAGGAGGGAAATTCAGGAGGAAGGCAGCTGTAAAAACGATTTTGTTTTTTAATATTAACTAACCTAAGTTGTAGCCTGGGTTAGTCTGCCACCACCATCAAAAATTATCATTTTTCCTATGAGTAAAGAAAATCCCCAGTGGAGCTGTGTTCCACAGGAGAGGTCTCATCCGGTGAAAAAAGCTTTGGAAAGCTTTACTTACGTGTTTTACTTCGACAAGAGGTAACTCGAACATGCAGGACTGGGAGCAGACCTCAGCCTCGATCGTGGAATGCACAAAGCAGCTGTTTTGCCTATAAATAAACCAAGAGCCTCTTCCCGAGTGAGGCTTTTTTCACAGATATGCCATGGAAATTAAAACTGCCCCTTTAACTGTTGGTTTTAAAGTATGTGGTAGCGGCAGGATTTACGTTCTGGTGTGTGAAAGTCACGCCGGCATCAGGTTTCGGCCTTATCGCGGTGCGGTGGAACCGCTTGTGCTGCAAAGAGTTAAATCCGTCAGCATTTCTCTTCCTAATCCCCCCGAGTGCCACAGGTTTATATCTTTGGTAGAAAGCAAAACTCCGCTGCACATAGTCAAAAACATCTCCATGCACCTCTGATTATTTTGTTTCCATCTCTTTGTAAATGTCTCCATATTTTTGATAATTCAACAGAGAATTTTACTAGGGGAGGGCGGGGGTGGAATATCTGTTTGCTTTCCTGGGCTGATTGGCTTTCTTACATTTTTCTTTTCTTTTTTCCCCTTCGGTTTGTGGTTTGGTTTTTGTTTTGTGTGGCTTTTTTCTTCTCATTTTTCATGTGAATGCCGGGAGAATCAGCAGTAGGAATCGCACGGATCTTGAGGGCTGGCCCAGTGCCTGGGGACAGGGTCTCAGCGCCCCGGGTGGTTCTGGTGTCACTCGCTGTCTCCAGGAACTCAGGTTCTTGCACCTATTCAATGGCTGTAAATGACCATCTGGTTACCCCCAAAGCAGAAGCGTTGCCCTCACTCTGATCGCCTGTCCCGGGCGGGTCGCTGTATGGTGCAGGTGCAAAACCAGCAGCGTTCCCCAGCTCGGAATAAGGCGGCAGCTCCGCATGGAAACAGCCGGGCCAAGAGGAGAGGCAGCAGGGCCCCGATGGAGCTCGGTGCCGCCGGGGAGAGCCCGGCCCGGCGCTCCGGCTCCTGCGGGCGGGGCAGCGCCAGCGCCGGGACAGCAGCGGCTGCTGCCGCCCAGGGACGGAGCCCTGGCAGCCCTGGCAGCCCTGGCAGCCCTGGCGGCCCTGGCAGCCCTGCCGGCCCTGCCGGCCCTGGCAGCCCTGCCGGCCCTGGCAGCCCTGGCAGCCCTGCCGGCCCTGCCGGCCCTGGCAGCCCTNCCCTGGCAGCCCTGCCGGCCCTGCCGGCCCTGGCAGCCCTGCCGGCCCTGGCAGCCCTGGCAGCCCTGCCGGCCCTGCCGGCCCTGGCAGCCCTGGCAGCCCTGGCAGCCCTGGCAGCCCTGCCGGCCCTGGCAGCCCTGGCAGCCCTGGCGGCCCTGGCAGCCCTGGCAGCCCTGCCGGCCCTGCCGGCCCTGCCGGCCCTGCCGGCCCTGGCAGCCCTGGCAGCCCTGGCAGCCCTGCCGGCCCTGGCAGCCCTGGCAGCCCTGGCAGCCCTGGCGGCCCTGCCGGCCCTGGCGGCCCTGGCGGCCCTGGCGGCCCTGGCAGCCCTGGCAGCCCTGGCGGCCCTGCCGGCCCTGGCGGCCCTGCCGGCCCTGGCGGCCCTGGCGGCCCTGGCGGCCCTGGCGGCCCTGCCGGCCCTGGCAGCCCTGGCGGCCCTGGCAGTCCTGGCGGCCCTGGCAGCCCTGGCAGCCCTGGCAGTCCTGGCAGCCCTGGCAGTCCTGGCAGCCCTGGCAGCCCTGGCAGCCCTGCCGGCCCTGGCAGCCCTGCCGGCCCTGGCAGCCCTGCCGGCCCTGCCGGCCCTGGCAGCCCTGCCGGCCCTGGCAGCCCTGCCGGCCCTGGCAGCCCTGGCAGCCCTGGCAGCCCTGGCAGCCCTGCCGGCCCTGGCAGCCCTGGCAGCCCTGGCAGCCCTGCCGGCCGAGCTCCCGCTCCTTCCCAGGGCTGGCTCGGGGCCACGGCTGCAGCTTCTGTCAGCGCATCTCCCGAGTGCTCGGCTGGGAGGGAGGGAGGGAGGGGAGAATTTGGCACCCTGAGCGTTTCTGTCCCTTCTCCTGAGTGGCAGCTGGACGCCAAGGACAGCACAGCGCCTTTTAAAGGAGCTCTTACCCAGTTTTGGGCACAAGGCACAGCTCTTCCTCAGAGGAGCTCTGTACACCTTCACCCTCTCTCCCTCTCTTCACCCCTCTTCTCAACAGGATAGCCAATTCCAAAAATAAAAGGAAAAACAAATGTTTTAGTTCTGTTTAATAGGTCTTGGCATTCTTGTATTTCCTTTGTGACTTTTGAGATCTTGCATTCACTTGGAGGAAAGTTTGAGGGGTTGGAAGTCAATGATCTTTGAGGTCCCTTCCAACCCATAGCATTTTATGACTATGTTTCTGTGATTTGTCTATCCAAATCGGTAATTCAGTTCTTCCTACTCAGCCTTAAGAAAACCAACCAAACAAAAAAAATCCACAGCTGATGTTCTTCTCAATTAAAAAACCCCAAACAACAACCAAACAAAACCAAAAACAACCCTACAAACTACAATAAAATAAATACTTTAACCATAGTGGCTGTTCACACAGGCAGTTCTAGTCAGGTATTAGTTCTAAATTTTATATTAACTCAAAGAAAGTTCTTTAAGCTTTTATTCTCAGTTTAGCCACTCAGATCTCAGAATGCAATTTACATGCTGACAGCCTGTCTTCAGAGGAGTGATTTGTTAATAGAATATTCAGTCTGTTCTTTCTCTGACAAAAGAACCTCCCCTTCTCTGACACAACCTCTTGTGTCAGAGGTGTTAATGTTAATGACAGTACTTTCCTGATCACAATCTGCATTGGCTAAAAGGGTCTTTCAAATAAGTCTGATCTCCCTCCAATAAGGAGAGGATGAAGTGGGCCAAATTTCTGCCAGCAGCTTTGCTGTGGGAAAGCAGATTTCTTCATGTTCTGTGTCCAGCCAGGCCCCTCTCCAGGCCAGGTTTGCTGGGGCTGGCAGCTGTGGCTTTTCTTGTTGGCCAGGGAGAGGATATTGAATGTTCTCCCTGCTGGTCCCTGCACAGAGTGTGCCCAGGGAAACAGGCAGGGCCCACGCTGGGGGCTCAGGGAGAAAGGATGTTCTGTTGATAAGGTAATGGAGTCTGCAGCCTCAGGGAAACTTGCCAAAACCTTTCTCTAGTAACTGCAGGGATTACCCAAAAATCAATAATGAAGTCGGTCACCAGGGGAAGGGAAAAAATGCATCTTCAAGGGAAGCCAAATTCTGTGAATGCTCCATGAGAGTAATCATGGCAGGATTTAGGGTAATTGTGAGGCAAATCAGATTGAGGAAAATTGTTTTAAAAGAGACCCTTAGCTAGCAATAAGGCCCATATGTTCTTTCTTATCTCTACAGAAGTGGCCATCTTTTTTAGCAGATTGACCTGTTTGAGTAGCTGCCGCAGTCTTGATTTTTAGCATCTACAAACATACTTGTAGTGAAAATAATGAATTGCCATAAATGAATATGTTCCATCAGTTTTTGTGCCTTTAGCCTTATTTCACCTCTACCAGATTGTGAAGTGTGTCATTTTAATCTGCAACATGCAGGAACATTGGGATGAATTTCCTGAAGTCAGTGGATCTCTCTCCTTTTATGTCAGGAGTGATTGTGGCTCATCTGTTGCCCCGTGTTCTTCTTCCCAGGTGGGCTGGAGTGATGGTTTCTTCTCCTTTTTTAAACACCAATTTGGTTTGTCTGTGTTTTGACACTATCCTTCCAGAAAAGCAGTGATTGCTCTGAACACTGAAATCATACTTTGGCTGCAGTGCTGCTGCAATCAGGAATATCAGCTATCGAAGGGAGCTCCTTTATGGTGTCATTTAACACTGCCTTAATAACTGGGTCTGGGTAGGACTTCAGAAACACTGACTTTTGTTTCATTTCTAGGGGCAGGATTTGTACTCAAGTGATTTTGTTGTAGTGTCCAGGAGCACCAGCCTTCAGGCTGCCACGTGTTCAGATTTATTTCACCATGAAAAAATATAAGAAATACATCTAGCTCCTCATAACTGGTGACCTGTAAGGCATTTTTGTGGCCTTTTAAAATGTCTGCTTCCATACAATCAGTGGGAGTTTATAGAAAGTAGAGCTTGGTGTTTTGGGAGACATCTACATGCTGTTAAAAAAGCTATCAATTCATCTCAGAAGGAATTGTGGCTTATGTTATTTTCTCATGACTTTGTTCTGATCCAAATAAATTAGCAGCCAACAGTGTGAAGAGCAGCTGCTACCATCCAGCTCTGAGTGTTCCCAGACCTGTGCCATTAGGACTCCTGCTTTCCTTTGTGTTCTCCCTCTCTCCAGTGTTCATTTCAAAGGTTATTAAATGAAATCAATTTCAGCCTTCCTTTAGCCTAATGCTTTCCAGTTTTTCTCTTCCCTGGCTCATGTGTCTCATCCTACAGGGATATTCTTGTCTCCACTTTAACCAGCTCCTCGTTTGAAGTGATTTCCTGAAGTCCAGACTGATGAGAAAAGTGATTCTTCTAAATATAGGTGATAAAATAAATCTAATCAAAGGCACATGCCTAGTTAGCTGAGAACTGGCCTTTTACAAATTAGTGTTATATTATATTGGATTAAGATTCAATACTCATTTGGCTGGGATGTTTACGTATATTTTTTTTCTGTTTTTGTTGAGGATGCAAGTTTGAGAGAGTTAGGAATTTTTATTCAAGGAAATTCCAAGCTTTATACCTCTGACGGTAGAAATTCTTTATATTATATTATAAATATTAGGTGTATTAATTTCCTTCTTAATTGTGGAACTGTACCTTGTGTATCCTTAATTTAATTTATTCAGATTCCTTAATTTCACATAGGTCTAAATTACACCTAGATCTTGGCAGCCAGACAGAAAATTACTGATACAATTTTAACACCTCAGTGTTTGACAGAGGATATTGCCGGCCCAAAGGATGTATTTTTGTTTGTTTGCTCAAAGCCATCAGGAGACCTGTGGGTAAGGTGTGAATCTGGGCTTTGCCATTGCCCTAATAGCAGCAGTTTTAATAAAGCATTAAAGCATTGATTAAGAGGTACTGTTTCTATTGAGAGGGACTGTTCTTAATTATTTTTGTTTTTCCCTGGGGGAATTAGTCACACTGTAGAGTTTTTCTGAAGTAAAAGGTAAAAACACTGATAAAATCAGTTTGGAATAAAGGCTAGGTCATTATTTAACTATATGATAGTGTGCCTGTAAGGCTTGTGTTTCATAAGAATGTAACTTTTTCTGCCTTAACCACCTAGATTATAAACTTTTGGGAAATATTTTTGCACTGTAATTCCAAGCACAGATTTGTCCTCAGTGGTCATGTAGTGTGACTAATCCTGATGATTTTATCATATGCAAACCTCTTCCATACAGCAATGAGAATTTGGATTAAGGTTCCAGAACCTTTTCACTTGGCATCTTTTCTGGACAGAAGTGAGCAGGAGCCCATCTGGCTCAGGATGCTGTCAGGAGCAGTCCCATGGAATACAAGAGCATTTGGGATCTCCTAATTGAGGAAGCAGAACTTGGTTCTTGGATAATGATCCACTTGATGATCCTGACAAAACACTCTTCTCTATTGAAGTGCTCAATTCCTTGGGCTACCTAAAGCTTTTCTAGGAAGTGCTGTAGAAATAATGAGATCACTTCTACTTCTCCATATACTTCAGCATTCTCAGCTCCACGTGGTTTTCCCAGTGTCCTAATCCTGGCATTTCTGATGTAACCATTACTGCTGCCATCGGGGTGTTTTTCATCTGAGACACCCCCTGGAAGGGATGTGAGAAGAGTGCAAGTGTCTTACTCTGTATTCCCTGAAATGATGTTGAACTGTCATTGTCAGTATCAAAACTTACATCTCTCAATATTTTCAGCTCCCTTTCTCTTTATCACGTCTTCTGAGTGCAAAGGTGTGTCAGTAAAGTGAGATGGACCAAAAATCAAACTATGGAGACCTTCCTATTTCAATGTAGTGCTTGTCAGGCATAATGCTTTGGTCTTTTTCCATGCTCCTGGCAATGTTTTTATGGCAAATTGTGAAAACTCGTAGATTTGTGATGGACAGGTGGTGTTTCCAGGTGACTTCACCCAATTCCTAACTAAAACTTATTCATGAAGAAAGTCTTACTGACTTCACCAATAGAAAATCACCTCTGTGGAGAGTATAAATTATGGTTCCATGAGACATATTGGATTTTGTTTTTATTCTTCTGATGAAAACCTGTATTGATCTTCTGCTATTTCTGTTTTCACTGAAGAAAAACTCTGCACTTTATTCTCAGAAATATCCAAGAGAGAAAAAAGAGATTATTTGGAAATTCAAATGAAAGAAAGGTAATAAAACCAAAGTTTTGGCCATTATATTAATTGTAATTGAATGGTGGCTGGTGAATCTGCCTTTAGTTCTTCCTAGAAATAGGAAGCAGGGGTATGTGCTGACATGCAGCTTGAGTTGCATCTGAAAAATGAAATTCTGTTCATTTCAAACTGCTCTTCCTGACTTTAACTGGTGCAAAATGAGATTTTTATAAGCTCTGTAACACCAAAGTAATTTTGAGACTGTTTGTTACTCATGAGGAGCAAGACTGCATAAAAATTCATTTTCATTCTGCTGGTGCTTATTAATTTGATTTTGTTTTGCTTCTGGGGCCCATATTCATCTCTTACAAAAATCCGAGTGTTTCCTTCATCTTCTCCTCAAAAATTAAGAGTTATATTTCCTTTTCTGCTTTTATACCTACTATCTGTTGATATATAAAAGAGAAAAAAAATCATTGCTTCTTCTGTTATTCTCTGAATGTTTCTTAGAGAAACCATTTTACTGCATAAGTTAAGAGTTTTAAGATTGTGTGTTTAGAAGTTTAATTTTTGATAGTATTAGAGAGAGACTGAGCTGGAAAAAAACCCAAATTAGTTACCCACTTCAAAAATCCCACTTTTTAATTATTTTTGAGATGAGGTAAAGGGTTAAGAGAATATAGTATTAATGGTATGGATTATATCTGCTAGGTATCTTTTACGTTTTTATAGATAATTTCAGAGAATTAACATGGCAGCTTGCCAACATTTTCACTTCTTAATGACATCAGTGGTAACATTATTTATTTGACCTGCTGAGAAGACTGATTACTTGAATAATACCACTGAGTTTGTCTCGTGCTGTGAATCCCATCTTAAGAAAATATCTGTTCAAGGAATAGGTGAAGTGAAAGTTAGATATTCCTTCTTGGAATGTTTGTGAGCTTTTACATCCTTAAGAAAGTATTTTATTCATCACACCAAGTAAGTCTTTTTGCACAGCTGGTGCCCTCTTTGGACTTCTCAAAAAGAGAATAACAAGTAAACAGCATAAAGTTTAAGCATTTTTATCCCCACTGTGTCTTCCTCTTTATCACTGTGCTGTGTCTATTCCCGGGCTTTCCCTGCACCTCCTTGAGGTGTAGCAGTCAGGAGAGGGGATGGTCTGTCCGTGTTTCAAGGGATTTACTTTGGAATAGCCCTTTAGTCCTTGGGACCAACTTCCCCCTTGTGGTTGGGAGGCATTTCTTGGTGGGCTTGATCCTAAAGAAATCCAGTTTGCATTTTTCCAGAGTACTCTACATGTGCAAGGCTGTCTGCCCAGAAACCTCAGTGAGTATTGGGAATGTGGATGGATATTATTTCTACTTTAGGATGAAGAAGCAGAAAGTCACTGTCCTGCCACCCCATAGTGGGTCAGAAAGAGAAACCTGAATCCTATTTTCCTGCTCAGTGGATTCCAAGTAGTCACTGTATCCACCACCTTAAACTTTGTATACCAGCCCCCTGCTCACTATAGAGAATATTCCTAGCTCTTTTCCATGTCTCCTCCCCATAACTGTTAGACCCATTCTCAAGAAGGAAACAGCAAAAGTACAGAACATTTAAAATCCTAAAACACTCTAGATGTCTGGCAGTGAGACCATATCAATTATACATATAGCTGTGTGTTCAGAAACTTAATAAAACTCTGCCATTTCTCAATGATCCAGAAGAACAGCCTGTTCTGTAAAAGGCATTTTCTAACTATAGGCAGGTATCAATTCCTTTATTGACTGGATTGATTCCTACCTCTGCTTAATGCATCTGCTGTCCTGATAAGGTGACTCTGACCTGTAGCTTTACTTTTTGGTGGAAGGGGTGAAAAAAAGTGGTGTTTTTTCCCCAGTGCTGTCAGTGTACAGTCACTGCTCACCAGTGCTTTGGAACATCAGTTGTGAGAACAACTGATTGCCCCCAAAGTCTCTTCACTTCTGGTCACTTAAGCAGCACACCACTCTATTCTAATTTCTTCCATCACCCAAATACATGGAAAGAATGAAAGCAACCAATCTTGGCCACTCCCTGATGTTATTTTTGTCTCTGACCACAAATTTCATTTGTTCAGAAGCTGATGAGTTTTATGTCTTCGTGGGGATCCCCACATTGGAATGAACTCCAGGCTCCCCTTGCCTGGGAAGCATTTGCCAGAACTCTGATGTGATTAAGCAGCTGGGAGAAACTCCAGTGCAGGTGAATTCCAGTCTTTGGAATTCCTTAAGGGAGTTGTTGGAGTGAGTGTGAAGTCAGTCTTGGGTTTTTTAAACATGGTTTAATTTTTTAAAAAATTTAAATTATTCCAGAGGTTTGAAGATGCTCGTAAATCATCCCAGCAGGAAGACCAAGCATCATAGTCTTAAGAGCATTCTCTTGGCCAGATTATTCCCCTACAGCTCTGGGGAAGAGGGAAATTGGGAAGGAATCCTAATGGAGAGACCAGAAGTGAAGAGCTACAGTCTCCAGCAGCCTCAGCTGAGAGGCAGAGAGCCCTGAGCATGAAACTTTGCTGCAGATGTGGAGAAAGATGAATCTGTTCTATCTCCCACACAGCTGGAGAAGGGTGAGTGCTGTGGCTGCCAGCATCTTGCTGCCTCAGAATGGAATCAGCAGTGCACTTGGGCAGACCCAGGGATGGGGAAACACAGATGGGATTTCATTAACATTAATGGAGTGGCTGAGGAAGAGCTCTGCATGCTGACAAGATAATGTACAGCTTCAATATAGCAAATTTCTACTGCTGGTGGGGACTCTGGTGTTTTCCTTGTGGAACATGCCCAGCTATAACATTTATTTTCACTGTTTAAAATGAGTCCTGAGGAAGATGTGGGTGAGATGCTGTTCCCTGTTTCTGTCAAAGCACCCACTTCTCTGACAAGGACCAGACTTCCCACCTCACTTTTTCAAATGATTGTTCAGACTCCTGAGGCTGAGCAGAAAACATTTAAGCTGTTTTTCAAATGAACATTTATCAGGTGGTGTCTTTCCCCCTTCCCAGGGCAGAGTATTAATTAAATTGGAGGACTCAAGAGCCTGTCTGGAAGGGATTCTGGATGGAGAGGAGGTGCAAACCCAGAGGAACAACATGAAATGCAGCCAGATGTTCTTCAAAAATGGAAGAGTTAAAAATCCAAGCTCAAAGAAAAGGAAAAAAAGGAGAAATTTTTATTCTAGAAAATGAGAAGCTGCTTATCAGAGGAAATGTGGATGTGTGATGCCAGGATGGAGCGGTTTGCTCTCCAGATCCTGTGCTCCCTCTGAGGTGGTTTGACTTCTGAAATATATAAAAGAAAGGTGACTTGTTGTTTGTTTCCTGTACTGGAAAGGATGGAATGGGAAAAGAGGGCAGATTTTGCAGCACTAATGTTGCAGAAGTAGAGGCATTCCCTTACTGTCTGTTGATATTGAAAACAGCCTGAAATGGCTTTTTTAGCTTTTTACTGGGAAAAATAACAGGAATATCAAAGGATCTTATTAGTTAGGAAAGAAGCAAGCAGCCTCAGCATGAATTTTGTGTTTGTTGTGGTCTGAAGAGAAACACTATATTGGTGGTGGCAGTGAAGATGAATTCTGGGGATGTAGATAAGATATCCCAATGCTTCCATGTTCTCCAGGGATGTCAGTTAGCAGGTTACAAGTCTGATCTGAGGCTAAGGGGAATGGATAGATGAAAAAAAAAAAACCCAGTATTTAACAGGTCAGGTCCTGAGAACTCAGTTGTACTTCCTGCAAAGTCAATGGTAGGGATCTTCCTGGGAATAAATGCTTGGAAATGTGCTGTTAAGTGCTTTTATGTCACACATCCCTCTTTTCTGAAGCTGGGATCCAGGCCCGATCAGCAGTTGGCCACTAAACACCTGCCCCAGTGCAAAATGGCCAAGTTTATCCAGAGAGCTGAGATGCTGCAACAAGTCACCCTCACTTTCCTGTCCTGCAGTTTCCAGTGCTCTGGAGCACTGGGATATGGTTGGAATTTTGCTCCAGGAAAATGTTACCCCTGGAACAGCTCTGTTAACCTCCAGCAAGTCACTTGAAACCTGCAGTGTTGGCCCAGGCATTCAGTGCAAACAAAGCACAAGCTGCTGTAGCACATTTGTGCCAGGGTTTCCTGATTCCAAGTGCAGCCAGATACGGCCTAAAATGAACCATTGTTGTAACAATGACAAGAGAAGCTGGGGTGAAAATCATGTTATTTCCTTTGTAAGGAAAGGAGTTCTATTTTTAACTATTTCCCCCTTAATCTTACTATTTTGTTCTACCAGTGTTTATAGCAGAGAGTACAATACTTCTTGTTGTGATTGTTCTTTGTGTGACTGGGATATAAGTAGATGTTCTGCAGCAAATTGTCTGGGATACAGAGTCCAAAGAGAATATGCTGCAGGAAGTTCTAAAAAAAACCCCAAACCCTTACACAACCCCCCACTCACTCTCTCCAAAAAGCCATAACCCAAACAAATAAAAACCCTGAAAGACTGTCATAGTTCCAAAATAACCACCAAAAACGTGTGCTAGGCTTAAAACAGAAGTCTGGGGGAAATGATTGTCACATCCCTGGGTGCATTTGAGAACTGATTTATGTACATGAAGCAGAAAAAAAAAAAGAAAAGCACACTTGGGCTGTGCTTGTGTGTTCTCACTGAGACAAATGAACAGCTCCTCTCATTCTTTGCTTCTCCATCTTTATTAGCAGTCATCTGATCTTCCCTCCCCTTCTGCATCCACTAATCCTCACCAAAATGGCTGGAAAGAACTTCTGTTGTGCTCTGGAGTGTTTTCCTGGGATTATTTCTACTACTTCAGCAAGCTCAGTAGAGTTACTGGATGCTCAGAAGGACTTTTTGGTCTGGACTTTACAAACCTTGGACCCTGTTCAACAGTAAGTAGCCAGGAGAAAGGAGAGGGACTGCTCCCTGTCACCTGAAACAAACTTAATTCCTTTCAAACAGTTCTTTGAGAGCAGACATTGGTAAAGTATAAAAGAATTCACAGGTACTTTACCAAGTACATTCTTCTGCCTCTGCCCTTTGTTCTCATTTATGTATCCACAGCCATTAATGCACAAATTACAAGTAATTTATCAGGCTATGATATTTTCCATTATTTTGCAGCATGATGACTGAAGGAAACAGCAGAGCTGGAGGCTTGTGTTGAGTGGGTGACGTATGAAAGGAGACTGAGGCAGTGAGTTAGGATGAAGCACAAATAACAAATAAAAGGGAAGCAGATTTTCAGCATCTATGTGCCATTGTTTAGAAAATGTGTTTTACTGATGCTCTGATAAATCTAATATTTAAAGAAAAATCCCCAAATCCAACCCCATCATGGAAACTACCTGGTTATTGCAGGATGATTTGTGTAAGTGGACAAATTGGGATGTGCAGCTTCTTTGGATAATTTTGTGCTCTGCTCTGAGAGACCTTCAGGCATCTCATCTACAGACTTGGCTCTTTTATCCTAATACCTATCCCTTCCAGAATGTCTTTTGCCTGAGGAGTTCAAAGCTTTTTGCAGACTTTGTAGAGCTTTCTTTGTCGAGATACAAGACTTGTGAGAATGTGATGGAAAGCAGGGACAGTGCTGGAAGGTCCTGGATGTTCCCCACTTGGTTTCCCTGCCCCTTCAGCTGCCAGCAGAAGCTGGGAATGGAAATTCTTTTGGGACATGGCAACTCTGACTCAAAAAGAGTACTATTCCCCAGAACCATCTTCCAGGGTGAACTTGATTTTCATTTAGTGTTAAATCAAGTGCAGTCACAGGTTACCAGTGCAGAGTTCAACTGGGTGCCCTCAAATGGGATTTTGGGATTTTCCACATTTTGTAGTTTCTGGCTCTGCATGAGGGTGGGAAGGCAGAGAGCTGAGCTGGCTGTGGTGCTGCCTGTGAGGTGTCTGAGAGAGAACTGACTGCTGCATAAACCTGAACAGCTTTTTCCTAGTTACCTTTTACACAAAGTTGAATATTACCCAGGAGTTGTGTGGCTGGTTGGAAACTGAGGGCTTTTTCTGGGCAACAGTGAGCTGCCTTTCAGTGGGAAAGGGAGGAGAGGGAGCTGTGGGAACAGGAGGGGCTGTGTGCCAGTTCTCAGGGTCAGGAACAAGCTGGAGCAGGCAAACAGGTACCCAGTGATCTCCAAGAGCAGAGTTCAACTCAGCCTCAGCTCGCTAGGCCCCAGTTAAATCAGCATTAACAGAGCACCAGGAGAAGGAAGGCTTCACCAGGGATAAACTGAGTCTGCTTAACAAGCAAAGGATACAGGAACTCTCACTGCCCCGGCAAGTCTCACGGTTCTGCTGCATCACAGATTTTATGAACCCATGGGTAGGTGTGTGTTAGGAGTGGATATTTTGCATGAGCAGCCCCTGTGTGTCAGTCAGATGAACTGCAGCACTGGGCTGGAATTCTGCTGAGCAATGTTTGCTGTTGCATTTTTGGTTAGAAGACTCAGACTTCAGAACCCCAAACTGGTCCTTTTCGAGTGCTGTTGCCTCACACACAACTGTTTGTGGGGCTGATCTGAGAGCTCATTGCTGGAGTAGCTGGGATGGTGCCCTTGGCAATTCCAGTACCTTGGGGATGAAGTTGTTACAGGATGGAACCCCCCAGAGCAGATCTTAAAGAATGACACACACCAAAAGCTGATTTTTTGATTGTTTGCTTTTACTACTTATTGCAAGCATACTCTGTGTGTCTTTCACCCATCTTAGAAAAATGTGGGATGGCATGGGAGGCACATTAAAAAGTACAGCAAGTTAACCTGAGAACAAGGTACACCTACAAGTGTGGAAAGCTGTGTCTGAAATAATCTGAATAATGTGGTTTGTATCAGTTCATTATCCTGGCAACCAGAATTTCCAGGCTGCTTTGGTAGCTTGGTTGCTACAGTTAATCAGCAACCTGCCTAATCTCACTAACCTTCTTTTTGTCACCTTCCTAACTATTGTGTAATCTGCTTATGGCACTGAGCACTGACTATTAGTAGCAAGTTTGGAGCTGTGCAGGTGCAAATAATTTTGTTTTCAGTCTTGTTCACAGCTGGCTTCCATGGTGTTTGTGGTCGCGAAATTAAACCTGATCTCATGGTGTTAATGATGAGAAAACAAGAGTATTTCTGGCCTGTTGACATCTGCTTCCTCTGTGCTACAGCCCCTGAGCCTGTGGGGGGATTGTCCCACTGGATGGGACAATAATCCTGGGATGTAGTTCCGTGGGACAGGGATCATGGCTCCCACAGCTGCTGGGGGATGTCCTGCTGGCCCTGTCACCTCCCTGTCACCTGCTGACCTTCACCCCCTCCCACCCTCTTCATGCCTTAGCCCTGGGACCCCTGACTTCTCTGCTCCAGCTGACTGCTGGGATTTTATTATCAGGAATTTTTCTGATACTCTTTGTGAGTTCTTAGTTCATTCCTCAAATTCCTGGAATTCTACTGAAGAAATAAGCAATTTTGAGTTTTGCTGGAGTATGCAAAGGTTTTTGTTTGTAGGTTTGGTTTTTTCTTCCCCTAAAGCCAAGTAATTACCAGAAAAGATGTAAAACTATAATTCCACTGAAGGATAAGGACAGACACCAAACTATTTTTAATTTCATCTCATTTTATATAATTTATATTATTTCATCAGTTTAATGTTTGTAAGCCAACAGCTGTCATATCTTGTAATAATGAACTAAACAGTATTCCTGGACAAATGTATTCGCTATACAAAACTCATGTTTGACTTCAGCTTGTGGCCAATGGGAAAGACACACTGTCAGAAATAATTAGTAATATATCTTGATCTTTAGGGTGCCTATAGTCTGCCAAGCTCAGGCAAATGTTTTGTTTGCTGCCATTAGAGAAGCCTTGAAAATTCTGCATGAGACCATAATTAATTCCAAAACAGGGATGGCTTTGAGTATTTTCTTCAAGAATTTGAATTATTTTGTTGTTCTCTTCATCTGGATCTGCTGTAAAAGGTAATGATGTAATAATATCTTTTTCCTCAAAGGAAAAAAGAACATAACCTGCTTGGTGTTGTGATAACTATGAACAGGAGGGGATGGTTTCTAGAGGAAGATACACTGTAAATACAAAAAGTGCTTCAAAAAGCACAATATCCCAAACTTCTGGCTTCTTATTTCAGAATAGAAATATAATTATTATATAGGAGCACTATTCTTGCACTTCGAAATTATTTCATACTACAGTTCACATGCAAAGTTACCCCCTTCCTCCCATGTTGTATTTTAAATCCCTTTTTTCAGATACACCTTTCTCATTTTCTTTGCAAATTTTTGAACATGTTCCTACTTTTGTGCTGTGGCCATTAGTTATAATATTAAAGACAGAATATTCAATAATCTGTGAGAAACTTTCCTATTCCTCTCCCTCCTGCTAGGTGGCTTCCCTGAAAGCATAACTCATCAGTATTTCTCCTTTAATGAGCTTCGTGCCTTAAAATGCATCTATTACATCACCTTTGGATTTCGATTTTCATGTTGAAGTTATTGGGGTTTTTTTCTTTAAATATAGGTTTGGTTTTGTTTGGTTTTTTTTTTGGTTTTTTTTTTTTTTTTTTTTTTTGTTTTTTTTTTTTTTTTTTTTTTTTTTTTTTTTTTTTTTTCCCAGTGCTCTCATCCTATTAGTTATTCTGGATTGTCTACATTTAAATCATCCTCACTGAAAAAAAAAAAAAAATAGAGGTCAAACCATGACTTGGTTTTTAGGCCAGACTATTTTTCATCTCCTGACTGGTGTACATGACTCGTCTTTGTTTAAAATATTTTTTACTGCTTCATGAATTTCATTCACCCTGACCTGTCTGTCTTTGTTTCTATTCTGCCATCTCTGATTTTTCTTTGCTTTTTAATTCCTTATTGGAATGTTTATCCATTTGTTTCTAATGCAATTTCTGAACAGCTTTTTTGACTTAAATCTCATTATCCTCCCTGTCTAAAAAGTCTGTTGCTCCAAGTGATTTCCATAAATGGTTCCTTTAATACCCATTCATGAGGATCTTTCTTTTCCTATAAAAAGGTAGGTTTTTTTTAAGATATTTTGCTAGCACTTTATGTCCTAGAAATGCTTCCTGGAAATCTTGGGAAACCTTAATCAATTTGATCTACTTAGGCCACAATATTCTGTTTTTCTTTTCCAGAAATGCTAAAAAAAACTGAGGCATAACCTCCAAAATCTGTCCTAACACTTCCTGGTTATAGAATGTTTATCATGTTTCCTAATTTTGTAATTATTAAAGTTTGTATTTAAAATATTTAAAAAATCAGTGACAAACTCAATCTGAATTATACAGATTCCCAACGCATTTTAAAACCTTAAAAAACATTGGCTTTGCTACTTTCTCTATGTTCAGAGTAATTTTAGAGGTATTTTTAATCCCTTTCTCAGTAGTTCAATAATTATTTGTTCTTTTAGAATACTTAGGTGAGTGCTGTTAAATCTTAGAAACAGATTTGACTTCTTTTTTTTCCTTTGAAATCACTTCAACTAATCTGAGAAAAATCCCATAATTTAGAGGTCCTCTGCCTTTTTCAGAAAAGGATTTGATTTCCTAAAGGGCCAAGTCCCATCATATCTGACTGGTAATTGTACAACTCTTCAGAGTTACAGAATATTGACAACCACAAGTAAACTTCCTTGTGAAGCAAGGATTAATAATTTCACAGATATTTTATTCAAGTTTAAAAAAAGTTTCAAATTCACATTAGTTATGTTCACATTTGCAAAATAAATAAAAGTAAGAATGCTTAAAAAACTTCCAAACATAGAGAAACTGTCTAACAAAATAAAGAGGAAAAAATAATGACAATTTTTTTTTTGCAAGAAAGTCAGTAATAGTAGGGGAAGGTACTACAGATATAAGAAAATATCCAAATCCCAAACATTTTTGGAGAGTGTTTTGTGGAGTAGTTGAAATCCTGAGTAGCCAGTGTATAAGAAGAGGTATTAAAGCATTTCCTTGCATAGTTTCATACAACTGGAGTTACCTGAGGTAAAATTTCTCCCCTTTTCCAGGGATAAAATGGCAATTCCTGCTCCAAAATCTGCCATAGCTTTGCCAGCCCATGGGAAGAGCTGCGTATGAGCCCTCAGCAGTTACACAGCACACTGTGTAATTTATTAATTTATTATTAAACAATGAGGTTGCAGCTCATTTTGAGAATAGAGGTGCACTCATGTCACAGAAGAGTGCAACAAAGAAGAGTAATACAGAAATACTAAATTATTTTCTAGGTGAAAACTAGCAACTTGAGCTTTCTTACTGGAAAACAAACAGAATTCTTGCACTGGCAGGTCTCCTAAACTAAGAAGTAAAAATTCACAAACTAAGAAGTAAAAATATGGAATTTTGGATGTGTAGCAAAGCACCAAGTTTTTTTCTGGTGTCTGATATAATTGTTAATAATATATCTTGATCTTTAAAGTGCCCATAATCTGCCAAGCCCAGGCAAATGTTTTGCTTGCTGCCATTAGAGAAGCCTTGTGAATTCTACATGAGACCATAATTAATTTCAAAACAGGGATGGCTTTGAGTATTTTCTTCAAGAATTTGAATTCTTTTGTTATTCTCTTCATCTGGAGCAGCTGTAAAAGGTAATAGCTTTTTCCCCAAAATAAAAAGAACATAACCTGCTTGGTGTTGTGATAACTATGAACAGGAGAGGATGGTTTCTAGAGGAAGCAACATTGTAAATACAAAAAGTGCTTCAAAAAGCACAGCCAGCAGTGTAAGAGGTTCCTGAGTCCCAGCCCTTCCTGTCAGTGCCCTTCCTCATCACTGGCCCCCTCCTCAGAATCATCACTCTCATACTCCTCATCCTCATACTGGAAGGCACCCTCAGCTTCGGGCTCAGACTGAGCTTCCTCCTCATGCTCATGGGGCCTGTCAGACTGGGAGCTGGGTCTGGACTCATGCTCCTCCTCCTCCTCCTGGGAATGGCCGTGGGATGGGCTTGCCTTGGCTTCCTCCTCCTCTTCCTCCTCCTGGGAATGGTCCAGAGATGCGCCTGCTTTTGCTTCTTCCTCCTCTTCCTCCTCCTCCTTCTCCTCCTGGGAATGACCAAGCAATGGGCCTGCCTTTGATTCCTCTTCCTCCTCCTCTTCCTCCTGGGAATGGCCAAGTGTCAGGTCTGCACTGGCTTCCTCCTCCTCCTCCTCCCATTCAGGCTCAAGGACATCAGGGCTGGCTCTGGCCTCACCCCCATCCTCCAGGTCACTGCACTGCTCATCTGGGGTGGAGGTTTTGACACGTTTTCCCTTCTTTTCCTCCTCCTCCTCCTCCCAGGACTGCTCAGACTGGGGACTGTCACCAGCTGCTTCCTCAAAGGATCCCCTTTTTTTCATTTTAACCTTGGTGATTCTGAAAAGACAAATTGCATGTGGGGTTTTATTCTCTGAGAAGATGCTTTCTACCTTTATGTAACCCAGGACAAAGCCTGGTAGCCTTGGCTGGGGGGAAGGAAAAGGGAAGGAAAGGGAAGGGGGGACACACCTTCTTTATGCTAAAAAGTAACTCAATAGTATTATATATTCTGATTTTTTTCTTTAAATTTCTGCTTCCTTTTAAATCAAAAAACCCAATAGATACGAAAAACTATTTTAATAAAGTTCACTTAAAAATTTTAAAACATAAAGGTAGTGACTTACAGCAACCTGCCAGATTTTCGGATGAAAGGAACAAAGAAGGAATGTTTTTCTTCTTTTTTCCTTTGAACTGCATTGCATAACATAACCAGTTTGGTTGAGCAGTTCTCCTCTGTTTTATGAAATAATATTTAATTCAGGAAAAATAATCAAAAATACATACTAATGTTAACATACCACATAGTCAAATAGTTCCCTGGAAAATACTGAAAATCATAAAACCCTTAAATCTACACAAGGAAAATTTTCTAATCGTTAGATATGTAATGGGTAAAAAGAAAAAGCTTTCTGTCATCTGTACCTTGCTCTGCCAGCACTGGAGGTAAAATCTCCAGCAGTGGAGAACTGCAGTGATTTGGCTGCTCCTCCTTTCTTTGAAACAAACTCTGGGCAGATCCCCAGTGCTCTCAGTCTGTTTGAATAATACTTTTCTGCAGCTATTCTGGCATTTTTCTGTAGAAAAACCACAATGGTTAAATGTTATCTAATGCATTAAATGCCTGGCTTTTGATACTCTTATTTATATTAATCCTCTGATTCATTAATTGCTGCTGACAAGTGGCAATGATTATTCACTGAAGGTAAGAATGGCAAAACACCACTTGAAAATTTAATACCAGATTTTACTTTTCTGTACCAGCAATGCTTGGTTGTGGTCAGATTTACTCATGTTGTAGCTGATCCAGACACATTTACAACAGTTCTCTGTTCCCTGTGCAAGCACATCTCAAAAATGACTGATATTTACATGGAGATGGGGCAACAGAGATTGAAATGGAGAAAGACTGCCCTGAAAAGTGCTTTTGAAGTATCTTCTAAAAATGTCACACCACAAATGTCTTATTTGGTATCAGTCAAGATTAATTAGTAGTTCAGAAACAAGGCAACCTGAGCAACTCTTTCAAAAAGCAATGGCATTTGTTTTACTCTTTCTTCCATTTCTTGCAATTCTTGCAAATATTCCTGCTTTCTCTGCTTCTCGTTGTTCCTAAGGGGAGCAGAGTACAAGAGAAATCATTATTAATTTATAGTGCAAGGAGTCATTTTCCACAGTAGTTAAATTGCTCATAACAAATTAAATGTTGTTATACTTCAAGATACATTAGAGGTACTGAACAATTCATCTCTGAAGGAGTCACTTTGGCTAAGCAGAGGCAGGTCCTGGCCACTGGATTTAAACAGAGGCCGAGTTTGGATTCTTAAAGTTTTTTGGTAAAAGAAATGTGGATATTTAGGGGTTTTTACATGCTGATTTTATACAGATCTTCCAGTTGTTCTAAGCAAAATTAAACAGAATACACCACAGGAAATTAAGTGCATTAAATAAAAATCTGTACTTTTCAAGTCTGATGTTAAGCATCTTGCTACTTTAGCAGTTGATCACCCAAGAGAGGTGGCCACGCTCTAGATCACAGAACACTTTTTTCCTGAGTTGGTTTGTCAAGGGCCCAATCAATAGAGCAGGGTAATGAAACTGTTGATTCATAACTGGAATGATCTCTGGGATCACAGGGAGCATTTGATAATCCAGGTGGAATGGGTTGTAGCCCTTCCTCAGAGTGGGACAGGCAGGTCAGTGATGTGCCTCTGTACTGGGTACATCTGGCATTGCAGGTCAGGTACTTCAGGGCAAGGATGAGATCAAGGGGGACCTTTTACACCTCTGTTTCCTCCAGCCTCTCCCCCTGACCATCTCTGAATTCCTCACCATGCTGGGAAATCAACTTCCAAGGTTTGCTTTGAATGTCTGTCTGTCTGCCACTGACAGACCGTGCCAGTGCGACACATTCCAGCTGTGCTGAAATGAGCATTATCAGGTTCAACACCTGCACCAGGGAAGTGATCTTGCTTTGCAACAGCAGCATTTTACACCCAGAGACCCAGCATTTTACTCTCCTGACATCTGATTAAGCTGAACACTGTAGTGTGAAATTTGCTGTTGAACAAACCCAAATCACATCTACAATCACCTACTGGATCTCTTTAATTCTTCACCTACTCTGACTCCAGCTGTTTTCTGCTTCTGTCCCAGAGTCAGCAGATCACATGCTCGAGGACACATGGATTATAAAGCTCCTGTTACTAACAGTATGCCAGGTTACTGCAAATTAGGATTTGTGCTTGCTGCACAAGAATCCTGCCCAGGCATGAAGCAACAGGGGCAGAGCACTCAGTGTCTCTCACCATCCCCACATAACAGCACCTTACATTGACAACACTGCAGCAGTACCATTGTGCCAGGCCAGATCACAAACTTCACTAAAGACTTGTTCAGACAGGATTTATTTTTCTTAGGATTAGAAAAGCAGAAAGGGTTAAACTAGCCCCAGCCACGAGGCCAAGCAGCAGTCCTGGGGTTAGAGCTGTGTCAGAGCTGGAGGCATCTGGAGTGGCAGCTTACAGCACTCCAAGAAGGCCCTTGTGCTCTTCTGTGTGCTCAGTCATACACAGACTCTCTGCATTGCATCTCTACTGCAGGGAACCTTGGATTCCATTATTCCTGAGCACCAAGCAGCCTCCTCACTCACTGCTGTTACACTGTGAAGTTCAAGTATTCCCACTTTTGTTTCCCTCTTCAGTGGGGACCTGCTGGGACAAAGGAGTGAATTGTGAAATGTCCACTGCTGCATCAAAATGGTACCCACACCAGCTCTGTAAGGATATTCTGTATCCACACTGTTCCCTTTCCTTTTGATTTTTATAACCTTTTCCTCTTTAATTGATATATCAATGGAGAAAACACAGGACTCTCCTGTTACTGAATCCATAATAATCTAATGTGGTATATATATATTTCTATATGCTATATATTTTTATATTGTGAGCTCAATACAGGTTGGCAAAAATTTCCCAGTCGAAATGCTAAATTTGGCCACTTTTTCACCAGCTGCTTGCACCATGTTTAATTTACCACGTGTAAGTATCTAAACTTAGACTGTGCTTTTTTTTTAACACACTGTATGTTTAACATACAGTGCAATCCCAAACCTCTCCTTCTCATTGTTGAAAGAGGTGTTCAGGATTCAGGGGAATGCAACAAAATACCTGAATGTTTTTAATCTGGTTTTAGACATCTGAGCTAGGCTCTGATGTGGGTCACTGGCCTCAGCCCGAGCCATCACAATTTTCTGGAATTTTTTCATTCTTTGTTTCTGCTTGTTTCTGTTCCTTTTTTGTTGTTCTTCCACCTTTCTCTTTTCCTCAAGGGAATTCCTGGTGGGGAAAATAAACTAAGGCTGAATTCAGTTTAAATCTAGAGCAAGACTTCAAAGGAAGCTTTGGCAAAGATGATTCCAAAGAGAAAAACAGGGTTGCTATGAGAGGACACAACGTATGTGCCATTTCAAGGGATTCAGGATATCCTGGGAAACCAGTGTCATTTGTCTTCTTCTTAGAGACATGGTGACAAAAATGCACTATTAACAATAATAAATTTAACAATTATAAATTTAACAATAATAAATACTAATTAAGTCCTATATTTAAATATTTTAAGATTTATATTATAAGCCCTTATATTAACAAATGAAATCCTAGATTCGCTGCGTGGAAGAATTAACTACATATTGAGAAATACCAAAAATAATACCAAATAAAATACCAAATACATAGTAATTAAAAAAAAAAATCTACTTTTCAAGTATACATAAAGTCAAGCATCTCCAAGCAGTCACCTCAGGGCTTGCAGCCGTCGTCTCGTGGATTCTGTGGTTTTGGGAGGTTTGGATTTTCCTTCGCCCAGGAGATGTGGGTTTGCCCCTGACTGCCCCATCTGAGGCTTCCGTCTTGGAGAGGCAAATGGCCACCTTGTTTCCTTCAATTTTTCCTCATCCTCTTGCATGTCCTTCAAGATCTTGTCCTTTTTTGAGGGAATGTATGAAGTACAGAGGTCGAAAGGCTCACAGACTGTGAGGGGTTTTAATTTTTTTTGTTGCAGGAGGCGTTTCTGGAATTTCTCATGTAGGAGTTCAAAATCGGGAATGCTCGATTTGATCTTGAGCTTGTGTTCCATTCGCTTTGCTTCAGTGCTCTTGTGTTTCTTCTTTTTGTTGGTCTCTTTTAAGGCCAGTCTGCTGTTGGGTACAGATGAATTTTGTAGCAGCTCCTCAGCTCTCATCCTGATCCTGATTTCCCTGCAGAGCTCCTCCTCCTTTACCTTGTCACGGAAATCTGGACTATAAACACATTTTGGGACTGGTTTCGCTCTGAACACTTTAGTTTTATTTTCAGGCAGGGAAAGGTCTTTTAACTGCATTTTCCTGGCTTCATGCCTTTGCCTCTCTCGCTCAATGAATTTAAAGGGCTTTTGGGTAGCCAGGAGCTTGAGCTTGCTCCTCTCCCTCACAGACCTCCTGCGCTCCTCGTTCCGCTGCACAATGTCGTGGTAGAGCGGCAGGAAGACGGCGGCGGGCACGGGATTGGCTCGGAACTTTTTCTGACACTCTGCTTCCTCCTCCAGCTGCTTCTTCAGTAAGTGATTTTCCAGCTCAATCTGTGACTTGGATTTGACATTCTGCTCTTTCTTCTGAGCTTCTCTGATGGTCATCTGGAAGGGCTTGGGCACGGTGACTCTGGGGGACCACACTTTCTCTTTCTTGTGCCCCTTCCTGCAGGCTGGTGAGCTGGGCAAGCTGTGCTTGGCATGGGAAATGTAGTCTTCCAGGCAGAAGCCATCCCACATTTTTTCAATCTGCTGCTTAGCAAATAAGGATGATCCAGCTCCGCTGCAGTTTTCTTCAAACACTAATTCTTCATCAGACGTGTCCGATACGCTCGAGCCCAAGGGATCACTTAAGTCTGAGTCTGAAAAGGATTTGTGCAGGTTAAGAGGCTGATATGAACTCTTGTCCCAAGTTGGCCTTGAAAATAAAGAGGGAGAAAAAAACCCTTGGTTTGAGCCAGTCCAACATTGATGCAAAGCTGGTGACTTCCACTCTAAGGAATCATAACTAGAAACAAAAACAAGTGGCTGAGGGGCAAGAGAAGGGAAAAGAGCAGCACACAGGGCACTCAAAGCAGATCCTGGTTTTAGTGCTGGTCACCAAGTCAGCACTTCCTGACTTGGGAAAGGCCCTGTGCTTTCCTAAATGTGCTGCCCAATCCCTGCTGCACACGCATCTCTAAAACTCACAGACCACTAGCAAGGAAATGAGTGGTTTTATCTTCAAAACTGACTTTTCTCTGATTATCTGGTTATGAGTGTTGGGGAGTGGAACACTTTCCAGCCCAGAAACACAGCTGCCTGCAAAGCATTTGGGAATCTTCAGCTAAAAAACTGAACTGCCCCCAAACTTACCTACAGCACTTTGGAGAGGTGTCATTTCTTTTATCCAAGGCTTGTACTCCTTTTAAATAGAGTTTGTTTTGATACATACTTTCCAGTTTTGCCATTGTCTCCATGTGGGCATTCTTCAACTCTTCCAGCTTCAAGTAATACTCTTGATTTGAATTGTACATTTTGGAAAAGTCTATCCACGTGTCACAGTCTCTCTTTGGAGGGGAGGCCTGCTCTCTGTTAGTATTTGAATCCAAGTCGAAGCCATCCTAGAAGAGATGTTCATAATTTTTTTTCTGCTAGAAGGAAGGGGAACAAGGTTCTTAATATTGGTTTATTCTAATTAAGTCTAAGGATTGCTAAAGTTACACAGAGATACCTGTATACAAATGTTAATGTAGAAGTACATGGAATGTTCTTGTTGCATATTAATTTTTATCCTAAGGGTCCTATTTAAAGCCTGTAAAAATTCCCAAGTCTGCCCTGTAATCAATGTTTATAACAGGAAATATAATCAAAAGGAGTTACCAAAAGAAAAAAATTAACTATTTTGTAAAGTGTAATTTTTCCTTGATTACTATGCAGCTCTAAAAATGCCTTTCTTTACAAGCAAACAGAACCTTCTCTGCCTCCTAGTTCCATAACCAGTCTGAAAAGAAGTAATTACAGATGCGGTGCATAAATGTTTATTCCATTTCCATAACTTACTGTGAAATGACAGGGATTCTGTGCAGCTTATATTTCCAATACTGATTGTCAGTTTGCAGCTGTGTGCAGTGAATACTCTTTAAGCATTTTTAAAGCTTACACCACAAGTCAGAGAAGTTATTAAAGCCAGGTTAGTCAGCATCACAAAAGCTTCATTTTGTTCTAAGCAGCATGTTTTAAAAAGTCATGGGCCAGTTTCTTTACCAAAAAAAAAAAAAAAAAAAAAAAAAAAAAAAAAAAAAAAAAAAAAAAAAAAAAAAAAAAAAAAAAAAAAAAAAAAAAAAATTAGAGGACTACTTTTCCACACAGAAGCCCCAGCGCCAGCACACTCCATCTCCCCGAACCTGCTGCTGCCACCGGCGTGTAGGAGCCAAGCTCCTTTTCTCGACCCGCGGAACGATGCCAGCCAGCCCTTTCCCCTTTCCTGGGCAGGGCAGGCCAGGCCAGTTCCTACATCTGGTCTCCAGACGCCGCGCTGCCACAAGCCTATTAAAGGATCGGCGCTGCGGCCGGGCCATCTGCCAGGTGTCCCCCGCGTGTGTGTGCGTGTGCGTGTCTGTGTGTGCGTGTCTGTGTGTGCGTGTCTGTGTGTCTGTGTGTGTCTGTGTGTGTGTGTGTGTGTCTGTGTCTGTGTGTGTGTGTGTGTCTGTGTCTGTGTGTGTGTGTGTCTGCGCGTGTGACCCCTCTGCAGAGCAGCTTCAGGCGGAGCCCCCGTCCCCCGGTGCCCAGCAGCCCCTCGGCCGTGCCCGCGGTACCTGCGCGGCGGCGGGCGGCGGTCCCCGCTCGTAGAGCGCGGCGGGAGCCCGTGTGCGCGGGTCGAGCGGCGTGCGGAGGCAGGAGGCGGCCAGCCGGGCGGCCCGGTGCGCGTCCTCCATGCCCGGGCGCCGGGAGGCGGTGCCGGGGGGCCGGGAGGCGGTGCCGGGAGGCGGTGCCGGGGGGCCGGGAGGCGGTGCCGGGGGCCGGGAGGCGGTGCCGGGAGGCGGTGCCGGGGGGCCGGGAGGCGGTGCCGGGGGCCGGGAGGCGGTGCCGGGGGGCCGGGAGGCGGTGCCGGGAGGCGGCTCCTCTCCGCTCCGCCTCGCGGAGATGGCCCCGGGGCGGGGCGGAGCGCGACGCGTTAACGCCCGGCCCGAGCGCCGCCGCCGGCCACGGGCTGGGCTGGGCTGGGCTTCGCCGCGCTCGCAGCCGCTGCCCGTGCGGATTTTTAGGTAACTTCTTGCAGGATTTTAGTGGGAACCTCCAATTCTCACAGGCGAGCCTGCGTTTTTCGCGCCCTCAAGTTATTAAAGAAGGTTTTCCGTCTTGAAGTTTGTACTTCAGGTAAGCAATTGCATGGTAAGGCTAAAGCAGAAGCAGGATTCTGTCCTAGGAATATTCTATCCTAAACCAGAAGCAGGAGCATTCTGTCCTAGGAATATTCTATCCTAAACCAGAAGCAGGAATATTCTGCCCTAGGAATATTCTATCCTCTATGAGGACATATTCCTCTACAAAGCAGAGTTAATGCTGGATGGACCTATTTAATGTAGTGAAATTATAAATACTTTCTGTGATTAAATCACACACAATTGATGCTGTAATTCTTGTCAATAATTTTAACTGTGATAATGGGGGATGAAAACTTTAATCATAGTACATAAACTAAGATCATTGTTGGATGTGACTCTGCGGGGTAAGGCACTATTTGCGATTTTCAACAGGCAATGCATAATTAATGCAGAACATTAATGCCTAAATCAATTGTCTAATTTATTAATTAGTAGTTGAGTTACTCTGTTCTACTTGGCAAGTCACAACAGATCAACACCATGGTGGAAATTTACTCCAACCAACCATGCAACAAACCAACCAATCATGAACAGAAATGTGAAAAGAAATGGAAGAAACACTCTCCTTTAAACATGAAAAGGAATCAGGTTGTTTCAATGTAGCAATAATGGAGATGAAAGGGTTAATTCAAAATGTCACGCTAAGAATTAGGAGTTGGAAAGCTAATTTGCATTGTTATAGAGCAGTGTACTTTTGACTTCTCAGCCAGCTTTGGGAAAAGCAATTATTCTGGGGCCAGGGGGAGGAAACCATGGGAAGAACACTTTTTGTAGGGCTCTGGATCATGTGATGGCATCAGGATGCACACCTCAGGAAAGCAAGGAATGGGAGGTACTCCCACTGCAAAGATCCTCCTCCCCTCTAGCCTGGCATCGCTGAGGGCAGTACCACTACTCCCTTAGGGAAAGCTTTGGGAGAAGCAGCTATAAACTAGGTAAGTGTTGTTAGAGTGCACTTCAAGGGTGTTTTTAGAATGTATCACAAGAAGTGACTGGTTGCCTTAAACATTTCAGCCCTAAAGAGGAGCAGAGAAAAGCTAACGTAACTGAACATAAACTCCAAGAGAAATTAAACAGCAAAGAGTCAGGTAGACTACTGTGTGTTTATTAATATAACAGCATTTTCTTTTTGAAAACCAACTTAAGTTAAACCCGATCAAAGTACATCAGTCTTGGTGGAGTTTAAGACAATTCACACAGGTGCTAGGGCAAGAGCTTGAGGCCATGGTCCCCACCTCTGCTCAGCTTATCCTCGAGTGTTCACCTGCAGGGAGGACACAGAGTCAGGCAGAAGAAATCACAGGATATATCACAATTCCTTCTTTGTTTAAAGATCCTGGGCTTTTAGTAACTCTAATTTCTTGCTTTATGGTGCAGTACTTATAATTCATTTGAAGTTATTAAAAAGCTGAAGGGTCTTAAGCAGCACACAAACTGAGAACACTCACACAGTAACTGCATTTTGAAGCACAGCAAATGAATGACAACATGCTGATGCTTGTGAAGGAGGGAAAACCCAAACCACAATATCAACACCACTCACCACATCATCAATCTTGAGAATGCTGCGCACGGTTTCTGTGGCGAGGGTCAGTGCACTCAAAGACACCAGCAGAGGCTGCACAACCAGCTCCTCCAGGATGTTGGAAATGCCACCCTAGGCGAACAAGGAGCTTTCACTTTGTGCAAGACACACTACAGTCGCATATAGCACTTTTTCTTTGACCAGAATCCTGAGGGCAGTCAACTCCTGGACTATCACAAGGCTTTCAACTGCAGCAAGGGCATTACAGCACACATCTTCCCTCCCCAAGCACTTGCCATATCCAGTCAAAATTAGCCAACAAAAAAGGTCAACACTGCCAACTGAGAAAAAGCTGTGGTGCTACTCTCAACTCATGACCACCTTTCATTGTAGATCCTACCTACAGATCATTCTAAATGGATCTTTTGTTGTAGCTGAATCGCTTTTGTGGAGACATGAAATGTTTCCTGTCGTGTGCATAAAGCAGATAATATCTGCTATTATCAATGCTCAGGGTGAGCTCGTGAGAGAACAAGCTGTAATTTCCTTGTAATTTTAGGGAGGCTACCAGCTTGCCCCCTCCTTAGTCCAACCCTAAGGAGGTTAAGCATTTCCCCTGTAACACCCAGGTATTACAACCCCTCATTACCTTCCTGACATTAATGCCAGCTGTTTTCTCTCCTTGGGCATGTCTGTTTCTGAGCTCTGTCACCGTGGAGATGGGATTGAGCCCTGCATTCTCAGCCAGGGTGGAGGGAATGACCTCAAGTGCATCCCCATAGGCACGGACACAGTAGGAGTCCATCCCCTTCAGCGTCCGGGCGTACTCATTCAGCCGCAGCGCCAGCTCGATCTCTGGGGCTCCACCGCCAGCAATCAAAGCCCTGAGGGCACAGAAGTGACATCAAACCTCACTTCACACAAGTGCACACACAATCATGCTTTAAGTGTTACTAACTGACCCAACTGAGACATTACCTTTTCTTCACTAAGCACCTTATGACGCACAGGGCATCGTGAATGGAGCGCTCAGCTTCCTCCAGCACGAGTTTGTTGGATCCACGGACCACGATGCTCACAGTTTTCCCAGGGTTTGTGCAGCCTGTAATCTAAAATACAAAACCAGATACTGACATTGGGGAACAAATAGAAGTTTGGGACAAAAAGACACTGCCACTGGCATTTTCAAATTCTGTAACAGCACTGATGTCTGGCCAACCAAAACCACTGTGCCGGTGGCTACTCAGAGATTAGAAACAGGTACTTAAATGTAATAAATTCCACAGCTACCAGTTATTAAAACATCAGGCAGATGTTAAGTAGGTATTAACACTTTGTTCCTTGCTCACCTTTATCAGTTTCCCAGAACCGTTCAAACTGACTTCCTCTGCCAGCTCAGCAGAGCCCAGCATGTCAGGGGTGAACTGGTCAATGTGAGCCACAGGCTTAGTTCCAATAGTCTGGAAAAATAATGGGGAAAAAAAATTAATCCAGAGACTGACTGCAGAGTCAGCAAGTACACAGCATGTTGTTCTTCTGCATATGACAGTAAAATGCAGAAGGGACTGTAGCTTTTACATGTATCCTGAATCCTTCAATGGAAGTGTGAATGCTCAAAAGAGCAGAAATGTTTTTTAGGGCAATGTCTGCTCTTGCATTATAGTCAAAACATGAAACTTGTGAAAATATCACAATAAACTGGCCCTGGCTAGGCAGTTAGTTTGGGGGTAGATTTTAAAACACTGCTGCTCATTTATATGACCCACCTTACCTTACATATAAACTCAATGTCCTCTCTTTCAATGTCTTTAACCACCATGATCTTAACTTTGTTCAGAAAATGGAGGGCCAGGTCACTGAGAGCATCCCTGAAAATGAGAGGCAAGGAGTCAGTGCTCAAATTCTTCAGAGTACAAAGTAAGGATGCCATCAAACTCCAAATACAGACAGTGCTGGGTGCTGGTACAGCCATTTTTATTCTGCTAAGTGTGATTTGTGTTTGGCTTCAGTTTTCCAAACAATTCCTACTGTGCCGCAGAGGGCCAGTGCCTGGGTGTTAACGTACCTCAGGATGGACTTCTGAATGAGCAGCACATTGCACCCAGCCTTCTTGATCTGCTTCACCAGGTTCAGGATGTAGGCTCTCTCCTCACGCAGCACTCTGTCCATTTGAGCATAATCAGAAACAACAATTTGGTTGTCCATCTATTTCAATTAAAAAAAGAAAAAAGCAAGTGTCAAAGCATGCCACATTCTTTAATGAAAGATGCTGTAGTTCTAAACAAGCATAACAGCAAAATACTATTAGAAACAGTTCAGGTAACACTGAATTTAAGTTCAAGCAATTTTTAACATAATTGAAACGTAATTCATAATTTAAACAATGTTTTTTATACCATGCTGGATTTTTAGGATCCAGCAGCCCTTCACTCTAGCTGTGGTATGGAGTTGACACCACAGCATCTTAAAGAAGCATTTGTTATTCCGTTTGCTTGTCCCAAGTCTTAGAGGATGAGGATTTGCTATAGCCGCATTCTGACTTACATCTGTCTTTGGAGCAGACAAGCAGAACTGAATGAGACCAATTTTTGCTTTTTCCACTCTGGTTACGCCGGTATTTGCCACCTTCTGAGTCAGGACAAGTCCCTCAACCAGTTCACAATCATCAATTGTGCCCCTGGAAACAAACACAACCCAGGACTGTAGCACTCTGGAAAGCTGTGTTCACAGAGACAAAATGTGTCTAATTACGAATTGTTTCTTACCCCAGCTTCTTAACAATTTTAATATCTCTGAGGTCCACACTATTGGCTGTAGTTGGGTCAATCACCTTCATCACTGCATCCACACTCATTGGAGAAAGTAAACTGGAATACTGACACACAACCTAAGGGATTCAACAGTAAATAAACCATGCTGAGAGACTTCACCCTGATGAACAGCAGTTCCACAATATTGTTGCTGTGTTTCAATATTTGATGCCAGAATTTTGAAGCAAAGATGTCTTAAGAAGGCATCTTCTTCATGGCTGCTCCATGGCAAGGAC